TTAGGTCAGAAAATATGTGGGAAACCCAAGTATGTTCCTGAGCAGGGATAATATTTGTCATGAATCTCGGTCATTCTGCTGCGATGTTGTGTTCCTCTCAGCCCAGGTTGGCCTTGACAGAGCGAGTCGTAGCCTGTCTCCTAACAAATTTTGATGATAAGAATTGTGGTGTCGTAAAAACACGTACTTTAAAAAGACAAAAGGTGGGTGGTTGGCGGGTGCTCTGGTGTGGTATGCTTCTTCTTTCACTATCAAACACCTATCTTCTTTATCTCCCCTCCTTTTTTGTGTTTGTTACTCTCTTGTAACACCTCTTACCTTAGGTACTTATATGACCTTATTGTGTTGCAAGTGTTAGTCCCGAAGTACACTGAACCAGTTCTTTTGTTGTGAACTGTTCCAATAGCCTACGGTATAAGTACCACTGGTCGGACCTAGATCTACTTCTTTACTTCACGACTGTTGTTCGGGTCTGCTTGTCTTGGCAGCCCCTGGACGGAATAACTATTTTCTTGTCGCTGTGTTTCTCTTTTTTTAAGTTTAAGTTTTAGTAAGGTTTTACGGCCCTTGCAACTGCATCAGGTCACATGGGCGCCAAGGGGGGGATGTCAACAGAGAAGTCCAAACGGGGAATCAGGCTTACTCTGCTCACCTCTCTAGCCTCAACAGCACAAAGTCTACTTCGACTATCAAGGCACCTCGGGGAAAAAGGGGTTCACAAGAGAATGACAAACATACAAAAGAAGTAGAGGAAAATGACGATAGTAAGGATAAGGAAAGAAAAAGCAGCAGTTCCCCCTATGTTGTTCCGGCACAGTATGAGCGTGACAGTGATAAATAAGCCCTTTTATAATTTTACTGTGCATAAGAACATGTTAATTAACTAAGCTAAACCAGACTGTTGCAGCAGGTGATTCGCGGGTGCTCTGGTGTGGCTAGCTCTTTCTATCCTATCAAACATCTATTGGCGGGTGCTCTGGTGTGGTTTGCTCCTTTCCAATCAAACATCTATCGTCCTGATCTCGCCTTCTTTTTTGTGTTTGTTACTCTCTTGTAACACCTAATCTGCTGCTTCTTCTTTCCTATCAGACATCTATCGTCTTTATCTCCCCTCCTTTTTTATGTTTGTTACTCTCTTGTAACACCTCTAATCTTCTGGCGCTCATATGACCTTATGCAGTTGCGAGCGCCTTAAAACCTCTACTAAAACAAACATAATCTGCGGCACTTATACGACCTAATTGTTGTGCAAGTGCCGTAGAACGCTTACTAAAACAAAACAGATACGTTACAGATGTGGGTGGTTGGCGGGTTCTCTGGTGTGTCTTCCTCCTTCTTTCCTATTAAAAAAACCCATACACATATATATATGTATTCTCCTTCTACTTTCCTTTGTATATGTAATTCTCACTCTCTTGTACTTGTAGCACTTTTAATACTCGGGATTTATGTGACCTGTTTGTGTTGCAAGTGCCGTAAAACTCTTACTAAAACGAAACTGAGACTCAGTTTGTTCGAGCAGAACCAGTTCTTTTATTGTGAGCTATTCAAATACCGTTGTTAACCGTAGCACAAGCGCCACTGGTGGCCGGTCCTACCTCTTTACGTCCCTTCTTTTGTTCTCGCCTGCTTGTCTTGCCAGCCCCTGCACCAAATGACCATGTTCTTGTTGCTCTGTGCTTCTCTTTACTCAAACTTAACGAAACTAAACCTCAGTGGATGGTTGGCGGGTGCTCTGGTATGGTTTACTTTTTCTTTCCAATCAAATATCCATCGTCTTTATCTCCCCTCCTTTTTTTCTGTTTGTTACGCTCTTGTAACACCTGTAATCTTCGGCACTTAAATTACCTTATTGTGTTGCAAGTGCCGTAAAACACTTACAAAAACTAAAAATACCTCTTTACGTCCCTTCTTTTGTTCTCGCCTGCTTGTCTTGCCAGCCCCTGCACCAAATGACAATGTTCTTGTAGCTCTGTGTTTCTCTTTACTCAAACTTAACTAAACTAAACCAGATCCGTCAGGGGTGAGAGGGTTCCACTGGTAGATTATGTTTCATCCCTTCCCCTTTGTTGTTCCTGTCTGTCTTTCTTGCGTTTTCCTGCACTGTATGGCCGTTATGTGGTCTGTCTGTGTGATAAGTATTGGCCCGACTCAAGAGTAGCTTTATTGTGTACCTTGTTAGTCGGTTTTGTACGAAATGAACCGGATCATAACTATAATTGTGTACTGTTCAAATAGTCCACCGTACATGATGTGTTAGATCCGTGCAGGTGGCTGGAGGGCACCACCGGTAGGTCCAATGTCTCTCCTCCCCCTCTGTTATTTCTGTACATCTATCTTACTTTTTCTCTCGGCTAAATGTCCATTATAAAGTCGCATTGCTTCTCTTTATCAGGCATGGGGTGGTTGGCGGGTGCTCTTGTGTGGTTTTGCTCCTTCTTTCTTATAAAACATCTACTGTCCTTATTTCTCCTCCTACTTTTCTTCATATTAACTCGCACAAAAAAGTTAAGAAACAACTTTTTTTTTTCACCGGTCAAATCTAAACTTCACTATCTCGCAAACCCGTTAAGTTCAGTCAACCAAACTTGGCACACACACTGACGACTAGACACAGTTTGCATGTATAGCAAATTTACCCGCACAAGCTTCACAGTGACGGCGCAGGGCATGTCAAAACATAGCCGAAAAGCATGAAAAATGGGCCAATTTTCTCTGCCTCAGCAACATTGGCATTGGGGCTGGTGGTTAAAACAGCTTGGAACGTGCTAAACAGATGTCTTGGCTGTGAATATCGCTCACTTGCAACCCTTTATAATAAGCCAGCGTTTTTCAGCCATGTTCATTACAACACGATGGTCCAACGACGCTCGCTTCCTGGTGTCAACAGAGGACGAGCCCTTGCCTGGCTCCAAGATGGCTCCACTTCGGAGTCGTTGCTCGTCGACTTCGGGTGTCGCCACCAGTCATATGGAGGCTGCAAGAACGATGGTGAGCGACCGGAAGGGTCCAGGACTGGCCTCGACAAGGGCGGCCTGTTTGACCAACGACAGGACCGAACGGTTCATCGTCAGACATGCCACGACATCACGAACCACCACTGCAAACTGCATCAGGGGCCAACTAAACTACGGGTGACAGCCAATGTCCTTGTGAGCGAGGAGACGGTGAGGATCCGTCTCCGTAGAGCCAGGCTCGCTTCTCGTGTCCCTGCCAGGCGCCTATGGCACTCACCGCCCCACAAAGCAGCTCACCGGGCGTGGTCTGCTCGTCATTCACAGTCACAGTGGACACGACGTGACTGGGACCAGGTAGTCTTCTCGGGAGAATCCAGATTCAACCTGCTGCTTCCAGACAAGCGAGCTCACGTCTGGAGGCGCCAAGGAGAGCGGTTCCACCTTGACTGCATCCAGCAGGTGGCGCCCTACTGTGGAGGGTCCGTTCTGGTGTGGGGAGGCTTCTCAGATCAGCACAGGACCCCCCTGTAGCATATACGGGCAATTTGTCCTCGACTGGGTACTGGGACGAAATCCTGCGTTCCCTTGCAGTTCCTTTCCTGCAGGAGATTGGACAATTCGGGATTACACGGACCGGCGAATATGGGACAACCACCCTCCTGCACAAAACCTTCAACAACTCTTGGGCTGCCTCGTCCAGGAGTGGCAGAACCTACCGCAACAAGTTCTCCGAAGGCTCGTCCTGTCCATGCGTCGACGCTGTGCCGAATGTTTGATCAATCATTGTGGCTACATCCACTATTACTATTGACAATGTTCATGAAGAACCATGGCTGTTCAGACTTAAAATCCAACCTGCGTGTTTTAAGCTCATTTTACATGAACTTCTCGTTGTTTTTGAAATCTGAAATTGTACACACATAATCTAGAGTCGAAAGCATCTTTTGTTTAAAAAAATAATTCATGAATGAATTCGATTAAATGTTTTTTAGTTATCTCTTTCTTCGAATTTTTTTTCCTTGACTGTTTTATGTGCGGGTTT